CAGGGAAGGCAGCGTGCCCTCACCTTCTCTTTCTTCCTTGTGTTGTTGGAGAACAGGTTGCACTCACACAGGGAGACGACAGAGAGAGATAAGCTCCATGGCTTAGCTCTGCACCTGCCACAGCACCGAGAAAATTCTACCAACCAGCTTTCTGGGATAGAACAGCATTGTAGTCCGGCTTCCCAAGGGACCTCTCTTGCCATCCCTGTACGTCCCACTGACCACTTGCCCCACTGAACGGCATGTGATCCCTTGCCCCAGACCCTGAGTGTTTGTCCCCTGCCACTTGCCATCTGAGCCGAGAGCAGACTGGGCTCCGTGAGCTTCACAGCCTGTGCTCAGACGGAATCCCAGTGTTCCCTTTACCCCAGCCTGGCCGTATTCGCCTGTTCACACTAGTCAGGCAGTTGAACAACCCAGGCATGGAAGGGACATGGAACATAGCTGTGTAAAGTTCTTGGGGGCAGAGACGGGCAGGAGCATGGAGCACTTTAGGGCTCACAGGGAGTTGAGCAGAGCTGGGGGGTCATTTAGGTGGGAGGGGCGCCTCTTCACTCTCTACCCTGCCTCATCTCTTGCTCTCTGTCCAGCCACGTGGACTTTTTGTTCTTCCAAGACACCAGTGGAGTCCTCACCTCAGGACCTTTGCACCTGCTGCTCCCTCTTTCTGAACAGTGACTCAGTTCTTTCAGGTTTTTGCTCAGATTCACCGTTTTAGACATGTCTGCTGTGGCTGCTCTGTACCTGGACTTATTGTTATCCATGGCATTTGCTGTTCTCTGACTTAGCCGAGATAAATTAGATAATGCTATGGTAAAAAAAAAAAAATCCCAAATTAAGGGACTCGTGACAACTCTGAAGGAAGGGTTATTCAGTGATGTGCTGAGAACAGCTTGTACTGACTCCAGAGCTCGCTCGCTGTCTCTCAAATAAAAGAAATCAGAACAATGTTTTGAAAGTTACATTAAATTAGCTTACAATTAACTGAATCATGGGAAAAACAGGGCCGGCGTGGTGGTGCAGCTGGTTAAGTTGCCGCCTGTGAAGCCAGCATCCCAGAGGGGCACCCACTGGAGTCCTGGCTGCTCCACTTCCGATCCAGCTCCCTGCTAACGCACCTGGGAGAGCAGCAGAAGACGGCCCAAGACCTTGGGTCCTTGCTGCCCACACAGGAGACCCAGAAGGAGGTCCAGGCTCCTGCTTTGGCCTGGCCCAGCCCTTGGGGAATGAACCAGCAGATGGAAGACCTCTCTTGCTTTGTCTCTCCTTCTCTCTAACACTGCCTTTCAAATAAAATAAAGTCTTAAAGCAGAAGCAGCTTTAAGACTTTAATACCCCAAGTTCAGCTCTTCTTTATTGTGCTACTTGTTATTATATTCACTCTGTTGAAGGCAGTGGCCTGTTACCATGACACGTTACTCTTACCTACCTGCCTACGCGTCCTCGTGCCCGTGAACCTGGGTGATGGATACGGATGGCTGTGCATCCTACCTACTCCCCGGCTGCAGATGCCAGATTGCAAAGAGCCAGATTGTGCGTATTTACACACTGCTGAAATCAGTAAATGCTACAAATCAGAGTTTATTTATTTATTTTTTAGTGCCTGTCTAGACGTAAGGAAGTGATGGGAAAATATTTATGATGCAGATTAAGTTTACAGTGTGCCATGCCTGCAGCTGTTAACACTGTGAATGGCACCAAAACATTGAGACAGGGCTCTGCTCGTACGCAGAAACGTGTGCCCAATTCCACAGGGAAGCACCCCCGCAGCGCTGGTGAGGAGAGAGTCCGGGGCCCTCCGAATACGAGTCTCTGTGGCTTCCCCTTCATCTTCCCGTTAGCATCAAGGAAGGTAGCAGACAGCACTCAGGTGGGAACTACCCTGTTTTGAGTGGGAACCGTGGGCTGATTTTGGATTCAGTGCTATAGCACAAAGATTCTCATTTTAACTGGCTGTATATAATTTCTTTTTTTTTTTCTTTTTGACAGGCAGAGTTAGACAATGAGAGAGAGAGACACAGAGAGAAAGGTCTTCTTTTCGTTGGTTCACCCCCCAAACGGCTGCTATGGCCGGCGCTACGCCGATCCAAAGCCAGGAGCCAGGTGCTTCTCCTGGTCTCCCATGCAGGTGCAGGGCCCAAGGACCTGGGCCATCCTCCACTGCACTCCTGGGCCACAGCAGAGAGCTGGACTGGAAGAGGAGCAACCGGGACAGAACCGGCGCCCCAACTGGCACTAGAACCTGGGGTGCCGGCGCCGCAAGCGGAGGATTAGCCAAGTGAGCCGCGGCGCCGGCCTTTGCATATAATTTCAGTTTAGAGTACTCTCTGCTTTATTACTTGTAAATTGCATCCCTTATATCAGTAAGGTTGATAGCACGCACGTGCACACACACACACACAGCTCTCCTTCTCCCCTGCCACTGTTGGTTGATGCTTACTTTATTTATTTTTATTTTTATGTATTTATTTAAAAAACAGAGCAACAGAGTGAGGGAGACACACCACACACAGAGGTCCTCCATCTCCCAATTCACTTCCCCAAATGGCTGTAACAACCAGGAGCCAGGAGCTTCTTCCAGGTCTCCCACATGGGTGCAGGGGCCCAAGCATTTGGGCCACCTTCCGCTTCTTTCCCAGGCTCTTAGCAGGGAATGGGGTCAGAAGAGGAGCAGCTGGAATCTGAACCAGTGCCCATCTGGGATGCTGGCGCTGCAGGCGGAGGCTTAGCCCACTACACCACAGCGCCGGCTCCAACTGATGCTTTTTATCCACTGGATGATCTTGGGCCACCTGTCCAGACCCTACACTCAGGTCCTGGCACATCTACCACCCAAAGCACCGCTGACTGCTGTGGCCAGAACCGAGGGTATCTATCAAAAGCTCTGCCTAGACCTGCGAAACAGTGCTACTTTGCTTGTATCCCACTGGCTGTCGCAAGTCGCATGCCGTGCCCACCTGCATGTGAGCAGAGAAGTGTGATGCTGTCATGTTCCTGGAAGGAGGAAAGGAGGCCTGGACTCTATGCACACAGCCCCGATAACCATCAGGACCTACTAGGATGCTTACGTGTTTACCGTCTGCCCCACCCCTCACCTGACCATAACTTCAGTGGAGAAAGACGGCGAGAGCAACGGAGATGCCCCGTAGATCCTTACTGGATGAGTCTGAGTAGAAAGGAACCTGGAGGAGATGGCTCAGTCTGCTAAGGGCCAGGGGCACTAGCAAGGCCCAGGGGATGCAGAATGCGGAGGCGTCCCCCTCGGATTCCTACAAGCGTGGTGGCAGTACTGAAAGGAGCGCTCCGATACAGGTGCGAGCAAGGCAAGCCGTGTTTTAACCACCGTGCGGTGTCCTGAGGCCTCCTCCGGCCCTGCAGCCGGGCCTCCTCCAGGAATTCCCCATCCCAGCGCCAGCAGCTGCTGCTTCCAGACACAGCCAGACAGCGGCTCGCGTTCGGGATGTGGAGATGAGGTATAGTTGTCATCACTGTCTAGCTGGAGGCTTTGGTCAGCTCCAGTTACAGCTTAAGTGCTGAGGGTGAAGCTACAGGAGAGGGGCATTCTTTCTAGAAGAATCCTTGTGCGTCTGCTTTAGTTGAATTCTTTTAAGTAGGCAGAGAGAGAGAGGGAGGGAGGGAGGGAGAGACAGAAACCTCTCATTCAGTGTCCCCCCCCCCCCCAAGTGGCCACAGCAGCTAGGACTGGGTCCAGCGGAAGCCAGGAGCCAGGAACTCCATCCAAGTCTTCCGCAAGGCCGGCAGGGGCCCCAGGACTTGGGCCATCACGTGCTGCCTCCCCAGGCACGTTAGCAGGGAGCTGGATTGATCCAAGTCTTCCGCAAGGCCGGCAGGGGCCCCAGGACTTGGACCATCACGTGCTGCCTCCCCAGGCACGTTAGCAGGGAGCTGGATTGATCCAAGTCTTCCGCAAGGCCGGCAGGGGCCCCAGGACTTGGGCCATCACGTGCTGCCTCCCCAGGCACGTTAGCAGGGAGCTGGATTGATCCAAGTCTTCCGCAAGGCCGGCAGGGGCCCCAGGACTTGGGCCATCACGTGCTGCCTCCCCAGGCACGTTAGCAGGGAGCTGGATTGGAAGCAGAGTGGCCGGGGCTTGAAACGTCACTCTGATACGGAACGCTGGGGTCACAAGCAGAAGCTGAGCCTGTGGCAGTGCTGAGGCTCAGGTGTTGATGGCTGTGGCAAGTGTGTTGTGTCCTACCCACGGCAGCCAGCGGCACACACTCCCATGGAGAGAGGAGCTGCCTTGTGCAAAAAAAAAAAAAAAAAAAAAAAAATTACACTAGGCCTTCTGCAGTGTCTCACTCATCAACCAGGGTGTCAGCTCCGTTCCCTTCCTGGGTAGTTCCTGTCCCCCAAAAGGGGAAGCTGAGTCCCAGGGAGATGACGTCATTCTTCTGAGAGCAATCAGGGAATGGCAGATGGGGCTGGCGCTGTGGCGTAGAGGGTTAAAGCCCCAGCTTGCAGCACTGGCATCCCATATGGACGCCAGTTCGAGTCCTGGCTGCTCCTCTTCCTATCCAGCTCTCTGCTATGGTCTGGGAAAGCAGTGGAAGATGGCCCAAGTTCTTGGGCTCCTGCACCCACATGAGAGACCTGGAGGAAGCTCCTGGCGCCTGGCTTCAGATTGGTGCAGCTTCAGCTGTTGTGGCCAATTGGAGAGTGAACCAGCAGATGGAAGACCTCTCTCTCTCTCTCTCTCTCTCTGTGTAACTCTGACTTTCAGGTAAATAAATAAAAAAATGGCAGAATCAATCTTTCTGAATCCGATGTGTGGTCCTTCCAGACCAGGACTCTACTACCAGCCCATGAGAAACAAAAGGGGGACAAAAGCCTGCATTCAGGCAACAGAACTCAAAACACCAGGGTTTCCTGGATCTTTCTCACCAGGTTTCAGAATCAAAGGGCACAGGCACGCGCACACTGGACTCCACGACAGAGTCTCACTGAACGGAAATAAATCCCAGCCGGACCATGACAGCTTTTTTTTTTTCTTTCAATTTTTATTGAACACAAGTATTCTGACAGAATGCAAAGTCAAAATTCTCAGTTAGTACTCAGTATTTACACCAGTGAGAATGGAAACAAAGGTGGCATCGGTGTTTCACTCGGTAAAAAGTTTCGTAACAAGAGAGAAGGCCCCCGGATACGGAGTGCTGGGCGGGGGATGCTCACGGAGGGCTCTGAGAACCACCATCCAGCCAGCCAGCCGGGCTGGGCGACCCTGGGCTGTGGAAGGCGCCGTACAAAAGTGTGAAAAGAGACTTCCACGGCGAAAAGCTGCGCTATATACACGGCGGCCCTGCAGGACTGGGAGGCCCTGCTCGCGGCCCCGGGCGCCCCTCCCGCACCACCTGGCCATGCCGGTCTCTATGTGAATACATACGTATGGCACATACACACATAGACACATTGACACTGGAAACTTGGGGAGTGGATCCCTCCTTCAAAGAATTAAGAAAGGAAAAGTATTGATAAAGATAGAACATCTTGAAAATAAAGTAACTCCCTCTTTGATCTTAGAGAAAGCATTGCTCTTTAAAATAAAAGAAGAGGAAAGGAACGCTCACGCATGCAGAGACACACGTATGTGTGATGGGAGAGAGGCAGGCCAGCGTGTGGGCAGTCTTGGGTTCCGGCTGGTGGTGGAGCCAGGGTTCTAGGGGGTGTGGGAGGGGGGTCAGCTGCCCTGGGCCAGGTTATCTGAGGGCTCCCTCAACCTCTGTCTCTTCCGAACCATCACAACCAAAATCAGTTTGCCTGATGGCAACGGCCTGGAGTGAAATGCACGTTTTCCGCGAGGTACAGCGTGGGCTTTGGCCTACTTGGTCAAAGCCATTAATATCAACAGAGGAGGAACTAATTCCACTGAACAGCCTGGTGACCGGAAGAGCCTGCCCGTCCCCCTCCCCGTCCCAGGCACCCAGCCTCTCCCATTCTGCTGCCTGCTCCAAGATCTGTCTCTGCCTTCTTTTCCCCCTGGAACCCGTGCATTTGCACCACAGACGTTGCACAAGGCCGTACAATCAGAGAGACCAACCAAGGCTGTGGGTTCTGGGATCCTCCATTTCCATCCCCAGGAGGTGAGAAAATGCAAAATAACCCCAAGTTGAGCAAATGACAAGACCATTAGTTTTCACAGTTTGAAATGATAATCTAGCATCGCCACTGGGCAGACCGCAGAAGTGTCAGAACATGGGGGAGAGGGTCCAGAGGCAGAGGCAGCCGCACCACCCTAAGCTCTGCTGCTTTGTACCTTAGGAAGGGAATGCATGCCGGAGGACTGGTTTCTGTTTACTTAGCGTCACCTTCATCATCATCTGTATTTCATCTGCTTTGTTTAAAGGCTTCAATTCCTTTTAAGAACTCTTTTTGTTTCCTGAATATTTTTTTTCTGAACTATCTGCTATACCTTCCACAACCAAACTATGTTGAAGTTTTTATTTCAATACTATGACAAAAACACGTTTCACACTAAGATAGTCACGCATCCACAGTGCACAAGCTTGCAGTTCTAAAGTAGAATGAGAAAAACAAAAGCAAAATTTCTATACAAAGGGCTGGCTTTTCCCTTCTCCCCCCTCCCATTCCCCTTAAAGTTTCTGTTATGTTTTCCCCCGCTTGGTTTCCGATCCAGGAAGTTGTGTTATGATTCCAGACAGTCGGTGGTTGTTGTCACTGTTGCTTTTTTTCCCTACAAATGCTGCCTAAGTGAACAGAAGGCTGATGTTATTTGACTTCCATAGATTTCCAAAAAATGACACTAATTCCCTGAAGCACACATGCTCTTCCGCTCAAATCTAGATTCTGGGCTCAAAAGGAGATGGTATGGATGTGTTTTATTTGGCTTTCTACAAAAAAAGGGGATGTTTGGGGTAAAAATGTGTGTTCACCAAGACCAGCCCCAACTATACAATCTTCTCTGCTTCATTCAGCAAAGCCAAAGGAGTCCTTCAAATGCGAGGGCACCAACACCTGGGGAGCAGAGCCTTGTTCACCGATGCAGGTGGGTGGCGGCTAATCAGAAAGTGGTTTGACCCCCCCGGAAGGAACACAGAAAGAATTGAAACCAAAACACAAAACCCTTCCAGGACGAGACAGATTTTCACCTGGGCCGGACACAGGTAAAAACTGCACATCAGAGCGTCAGGGAGAGCCGCTGCGGATGATGATGTTTTGTCAAGTTCTCTGCTAAAGCAATCCTGCGATGATCTCACCTACCTCTAGGCAGAATTTGTTACTTAAAAAGTAAAAAAAAAAAAAAAAAAAAAAAAAAGGCAGCTGTTTTATAAACACAACCGAAGTCAAACATTTATCAACTTGTAAACACTGGCAAACAAAGTTGGCAGAAAGGAAGAGAGAGAGAGAGAGAGAGAACCAAAGAGAAACATAAAAAGTCCAAATACTGCAAATTGAGATCTACCCCCAGAAGCTGCGATTTGGCATTCTTCCTACAAAACAAGAGTCTACGTGGGAATCGAATTCAGCTAGAAAGGGTGACACACTTTGCATACTGAACAAATACAAAGTGAACAGAAATGATAACTTATTTATGAGGTTTTACAGAGTTCGAACTCGACTGAAAGTACAAAAATAAACTGTGGACTTTGTTCATTCGGTTAGTCTTAGTGCCTGAAAGGGTTTCTCTAAAACAGGTCTGTGCCAATTGGGTAACACCAAGTGTGGTCTTCCCGAACCTAGACTTTTTTCTTTCTTTTTCTGAGCTTCCTAGATTCTTAATTTGGGGTCCTTTTGTTTGATTTTTTAAATGGTTTCAGGGAACAGAGTGTCCTAGTTTGGCTGTGGGTTTAACCTTATTGTCTCATTTTCTTACAAGTGAGTGCGCAAGAAAGGGACCCTTTCTATAAACCTACAAAAAGGATATCCTGTATTTATCTGTTTTAGTTAATTTTTTAAAGGCAAAAGACACTAGAGGAATGAGGTGTGTGTGTGTGTGTGTGTGTGTGTGGTGTGCGCGCGCGTGCGTGGGATGCAGGAATCACTCCGGGGAAGCTGCTGTGCCGCGTCATGTTTTGCTCTCTGCTCCTGGCCGCTCGCCCATCATGCTTTGCTCTCGTTCTCCTTTGTCTGTGTGGCGTCGTTGGGGACCGTCTGGGCTTCGGCTGGCGCTGGCTTCGTTTCTGACTCCTGGCTCTCCGACTTGGCTTCCACAGGGCCCTTCCTGCGGAGAATCAGGAAAACAGCGCCGCTGAGACAGTGGCTTGCACACGCCTCCCCTCTGCCTGGGGTCTCCAACTTTGGATGCACCTGTGCATCACCTGGGCTGCGTCCCCAGAACGGATCTGGATGTATTTTAGAAGCACCCAGGTGACTCTCATGTGTGGCCCGAGTGGAGAAACACCCAGAGAACAAGCCCTTTCCAGTTCCATGGGTGCCGGGGACTCTGCTTGTACTCGCGGCAGGAGAAGGGGCAGTGGAGGCCACTGCCACCTCTGCGCCCTGACTAGGGCTGCCGTGCAGCTGGGCGTGCTGCACCTGAGGCACACAGCTGGCTCCTCTAGGATCTTCCCCTCCCCACCCTGCCCGGGCTCTGCGTCTCAGGGTGGAGCCTCCATGGCCTGCTGGCCACAGGGGAGCTGCACGGGCAGGGCTCTCAGAGTTCTGTTCCCTCTGGACACTGACCTGTGGGCTTCCTGGTGAGGTTGTTTGGCAGCCATAGAAGCTTCCAGAAAACCCCAAGTCTGGCCCTGTCTCCATGAGATTCAAGCCTAAGCTGGCACCACTGCATTCTGGCGTTACACGGAAGAAACCCAAAAGACTGAAGGCTTTGCCTTGACCTTGTAGACCTGGTAGCTGAGAGGTGTGTGGGTGGCCTGGGTCTTCCCCGCCACCCCAGGAGCGCGGTGGGAGGAAGGGTGGGCATCTCAGCAGGAGGTCACAGGACCTCTGGACCACACCCTCTCCCCCCTCCCAGTCCCCGAGCCCGGGGGCTGCCTCTCTTCCTCCCGAGCGGTGGGGGCTCAGCCTGGCACTCGGTAGCACCCGACAGTGGCCCTGGCATAACTGAGAAGGGCACCTTGGCCTCCTTCGCTGCCTCCCCCTGCTATGCTTGTCAGGGGCCCGACCGCCAGGGCTCCCTAGGGTAAACCAGAAGCCGCTGCTCGGATGATAAGGATGAAACGTAATTAACACGGCCTAATTAGTGAGCAGCGGCTGCTCTGCTGGCCGGGGCCCAGCTGCCTGCCCCGGACTCTGTCTGCCGGTCCCAGGCCCAGGGCTGACAGTGGCGTCAGAGAAGCCCCAGGGGAGGCTGCAGACGTCCGACCAGGAGGACACAGCACAGCACAGACACACACCACCACAGGACACACCCCGACGACAGCACACAGAGAGAGGCCGTACTCGGTCTTTGCTGGCGCAGGCGACACAGAGCTGTCTGCAGTGGAAGGAGCAAGCTCAGGGGCTTGTCCACTGGCCCCAGCGGCGGGAGCAGGAGAGCCCAGGGCTGCAAAAACATCCTTTGCAAGGTCAATATCTGGGGTCTTGAAGTTCCCTTCGTCCATTTTAAAGTCCTCGCCCTGGGAAGGGTTTGTGGCGCTGACGGAGGCAGCCTCGCTCTTCGGGCTAGCGGGGGCTGTGGCTGCCTCGGGCAGGCTCTTCGCGGCGCCGGGCTGGGTGGGCTCCGGGTCCGGGCCTTTGGTGCTGGGAGCCTCCTGCTTGGCCTGGGAGGCTTCTGTAGCAGGAGCAGCCGGGGCTGCCAGGGGACTGGCTGCACCAGTGGGGGCCGGCTTGCTGGCCGCAGGGGCCGTGGAGGCGTCCCCCACGCCGGTGGGGGCGCTGGGGCTGAGCACGGCCCCCTGGTTGGCCAGGACACTAGAGGACAAACTGCTCGCCGCGGGGGCTGAGGTCGGGGTGTCGCTCAGGTCAACGAGGGGGGCGACTTTGGGGGCCGAGGCCGGGGGAGGGGAGGCGGCCGAGACGCTGGGCCCCTTGGAAGGGGTGGCCTGGCCAGCGGGCACAGAGTTCAAGTCTGGCGCGGCTGTGGCCGGCGGGGCAAGACTGGAGGTCAGGGTGGTGGTTTCACTGGTGGGGCTGTTCTGAGCAGTGGCAAAGGTTTCGGTGATAGTGTCAGAGTTAGTGGTGACGGTGGTGACAGAAGGCAGCATGTCCTCGACAGTGGCTGTGGTATCGGCAGGCAGCCTGTGGGGAGGACAGGAAGTAGAAGAGAATAGACAATGAGGCGGAGACTGACAGAGAGGCCGGGAGGAGGGCTGGAGCCGAGCAGAGGGGGCCGTGGGTGGGCATGCGGTGACGCACAGGCACGGACGCAGCCCCACAGAGAGACAAGGACGCCGAGAGAAGCACACGCCCAGGCGGGCAGAAGAGGACACGGGGAGACGACAAAGAACGTGGCGGTCGCAAAGGGCCCGGCCAGCCCTTCCTCCTGCTGCTGTCCCTCCAGCTCGCTGCAGCGGGCTCCCTTCCTCACACACCTGCTGGGGCCTTCGGATCCCCACCCAGAGCTCCACTGAACCAGAGCCAGGCCTCGGTTCAGTGTCTGCCTGCACTGGGACCTGGGCCAGCCACCGTGCAGGGCCCCAGGGGACAGGGATGGGGACAGGCAGGAATAAGGCAGAGCATGAGTGCCCCAAAGGGCTCCTAGAAGCCACAGGTTCTGTGGTCCCGAGAGACGCCATTCCCTTCAAACCCACAGGTGCACGTCACAGCCACGGCTGGTCAAGGTCACTGAGGGTACCCAGGCTTCCAATAACAATACAGCTGGGGAGCTGTTCTGCATCACCAGTTTCCCTCACTCTTTTAGGCAGAAAACCAAAAAATCCTAGCACTCTAAGACATCCTATACAGAACCTGCCTAGCCTCTCTCCACGAGCAGTTCCCAGAGTATGTGTATAGCCTGGAACAGGATCCCTTCTCGGGCAAGGAGCCCTGCAGGGGCACCCATGCAGCCACCCTCAATGGAACCAAGAGTGCCTTCTCTCTAAGGAGAGAGGGGGCCAGGCAGCTCCTAGCCATGTGGGTCTTCCAGCCAAGGGCTCCGGGGTCCTGGCCTGCACTGTAGGGCTCCGGACTGAGGACGGGGAGCAAGGAACGTGGGGCAGGAGGTGGAGATGGGTGTGGGGCTCTGTAGAGGAGGTGCCAGCCCCGCCCTGCCCACGTACTCGGGCTCCGTCAGCGGCGTGGTCTCATTGGGCTCTGTGTGTTTCCCACCATCATGGTTTGGGGTCCGCTCCTCCTCGGTTCGAACCTCCACGATGGGCTCCTTGGACTCGTCTTTCCTGCAGAGAGAGAGTTCTGGGGGTTACATCCCAGGGAGAACAGCGATGCCTCAGGGGCCCCAGGCAAGACGGGCTTCTAGAGCCGGGCACCAGAATCTGTCTCGGTGGCACCTGGGCTAGTGGTGTGACCTAGAGTCTCTGACCTGCTCACTGCCGCCTCGGTGCCTTCATTGGGGAAATGGGGCAAGGACCAGTTCCTACCTCTCCTGGTGGTGACGAGGACTTTGTGCAGTCCTCCCGTGGGTGTGTGTTCCGGCAGTACCTGCCGTGCGTGGGGTGCTAAAACACTTATCTCCTTCTGCCCCCCTTTCTGGCTGGCTGCAGGTCAGCCAGTCTTCCAAGGTGCCCACTAACTGGCTCGCCAGCTGCTGCTGGAGGGGACAGCATCTAGATTGTCAGCTCTGCAAGGACAGGACTTTTGGTTCATTGTTTCCTGTTGTGCGGGAGAGCCTGGATAAATACTTGTTGAGTGATGTATGAGTGAATGACAACACGGAGGAATTGGAAGCAAGGCAAGTGTGTGCCTGAGACACCCACTCCTCTGCTGTAGCTCCGTGCAGGGTCAGCTCTGACAATTCCCCTTATCTTCACAGAGAGATTTGAATACACCAGATCTGGGGCTGGGCCTCCCAATCTACTTTGCAAATAGGCAATGCTTCTCTCCACCAAGGGTGCAGTTGAAGGGAAGGCCACCCCCGGGTGCAGTGGATGCTCAGAGTGGGGACAGCTGCCAGGGCTCTAGGCCAGGGCCCGCAGGGGTGGGTGTCTGCACTCACGAGAAGGCGGCTTTGCCCTCCTCCATGTCCTTGCCCTTGGCTCCGGGCCCGGCTTTCCCACACAGGTTGACGGCGATACACATAAGCAGGCCACACTTGTTCAGGAAGTAGCAGGTGATGTCCACAACCACCAGGAGCAGGACAAAGATGACAATGAGGATGCCCACGATGGCGCCGGTGCTCAGGCCTGAGGTGGGGCTGCCGTTGGCTTACGTAAGAGAGAGAGGGGGCTGGTGGTTAATAGGTGGAGACATGGGAACCCTGGACCCTACAAAGCAATAGCCCTTGGGGTTGGGGTTGGGCCCACAGGACAGAGCCAGGGTGTTCGTGTCCAGAGGGACACCTTCCGTGGGGCCTTCCTACACTCTGGTGTTGAGATGACAGGGTCTCTCTACATCTTGAGGGAGGGATGACAATCTCATGTCACAGACTTAGGGACAGGGTCATGAGCCTTCCCCAGAGCCACCCTCTGCAGGCCTCCCATGAGTCCTGGGAGCAGGCTGGGACAGGGGATGAAGCAGCTGGGGGGCGGTGTGGCTGTCTCCTCCGCAGCAGGTGGTGCTCACTAGTTTCAGGCTGGGCTGTGGCTCCCGACAGCAGCCTGGGACAAGGCGGAGGAGGGCTCCAGGCTGTCCTCGGGGACATCAGGTGCCAGGAGGTGCTGAATCTGCTCCCTACTTCCTCCCTGCCCTGCCTGAGGAATGGCGCCAGAGGACCTCATTCTTCCTGGTTCACCCTCCTGCACAGTACCCAGGAGGATGAACAAAGTCCACCTAGCTCTGGAGACATGGAAGCTGCCCAGGCCTGGAGGGCATGGTGACCCGTCTGGGAATACTCACCGTCTGGGAGCTCCGGCACGCTTGGCTCAGACTTCGGGGAAACCCGCAGACTCACCAGAGATGCACACTCCCAGACAGGCACGCTCACACACAGAGCAAGCGTCCACACACACAGACACCCGTTCTCACAGTCAGTCCAGCAGCACCCAGCACCCTGGTTCTGGCTGGACGCACCAGCCCCTGAGACTAACTCCCTTGGTGTCCTCTGCAGAGTCCCCCAGGGCCCGAGGCTATTGGTGCTGTCCCGGAAGGGCCGGGGCTCAGTGCTCGGGGGCCCCGGGAGCCGTGAGGGTGGACCGGCTGACCTTGGTGGGTTCTATGCGGCTAGGAGACAAATGGTTGTGCTGCAGGAAGCAAGAGCCCATGAGCAGCTCTGCTGATTGGTGAATGTGGACGCAGTGACCCCAGCAGAAATATGAGCACTTGCCATTCCGTGTTTAGGGGTGGGGAAAGGCCTTGCAACCAAGTGGCCTGGCCCTGTCAAGGGAACTGCTGGCAGGACCCAAAATTCAATACATCTACATGGCAGGCTAATTTTTTAAAGTTGATAATTTTGTATGGGCTGTGAATGATGTTATAACTATCCTAATGGCCCTTAGCAGAGCAAAGGTTCCTCCTCCCTGGTCGAAGGACATGGGCACGGAACTAACAACCTCACCCCACCAAGCAGACCCTGTCTGAAGCTTCCTAGGCTCTCAGAGCTCCCTGGCATTAATTAGCTCAGTGCACTGGGGGCGGGGACTGTAGCCAATGCTACCTGGAGCTCGGCCCCACCTAACTCTGTGCTTTGCTGAGCTCCAGGCCAGGCCCAGGGGCCCTCTAGCCACAAGTCACACAGATCATGGACGTGGCCCAGGGGATCCAGTGCAGACATGGGCCACCCAGGCCTCATTTTTCATGCATCTATCTGTCTCATTGTTGGGGGGCTTCCCTCACTGCCCCAGGGATCTCTGCCCAGGCACTGTGGTCTTCCCCAGCGACAGGCCCACCCACTGATCCTCATTTCAAACTTCAGTTTAGGGTAGAGGGTGCAAGCCCAGCATGGCCAACAGGATCGTGTTCCCCGTAATAAGGAAGGCATTTCAGTCTTGGGTTTGCTCTCCAGCCCATGACGCTGGGTGCGGAGCCTCTGCAACCCCCGACTTTAGTATCTGATGAGTGTGGCATGTCTGTATCCTCAAGAGGGGATCGGAAGCAGGCTGTTTTTTATTTTGGTAGTGGTGGTGGAGGAGATATGTCTGTACTTTTTGGTTTGTGTTTGATTCTGTGGCACCAAGTCTGCATACTGATGTTTATGCGTGAAGGTGAGATTGCGGGACTAATCACAGGTCTAAAGAGGAAAAGAAACTGCTGAAAAGCCGCTCTCTGTGCCCAAGAGGATGGCAGCTGGGGCAGTGTTTGCTCTGTGCTCGTCAGACCCAGTCCAGAGGCCCACACTTGCTCTGAGCACAGGCAGGAGGATAAGACTCTGAACTGCACCATAAGCCAAGAGCAGGGCAGTGGTCTCCCCTTTGATTTGCTGTGAAATCCAAAGTCTTTCTCCTGGCCTGTACATGCTGGGGACTCTGATAACCCCTTGGACCACGGTGACTCATGGTACAAACCCGGATGGGTGGTGAACACACAGCCTGTGCCCACCCAGGACTGGGCTCCTTCCTCGGTGGCTCTTTGTCATCCTGCAGGCCTCTGGGTGCAGCTCTCGGAGAGGCATCCCCCAGTAGCTCACCGAGGGAGGAACTTTCCCCCAAGTCTCCCACAGCCCCTCATTTTCTCCTCTTACCACTGCCTGCTGCCTTCCACGCATTCACAGCCCATTCTCTCTGGACCTCTTCCCTAGAACATCCCACAGGGGCCTGCCTCTCTGTCTCCCCAGCATCTAGAATGGACCTTAACTCATAGAAAATGTTCCGAGAATACTTGCTGCACACATGAATGAGTATCTCCCCCGGGGATGAGAAGGCCGCTTCGTAATTTAAAGGTGTGTCATGAGAAGACAGAAGCATCTAACTGGGCATGGCACCAGTGGCTGGCAACGAGGGGCCCGGGGACAGGGTGCAGCTCCACTGAGACAGGACGAGCTGTTCAAACACAGCGTGGGAGCTGACTTCCCTGTTGCTGGAGGCCTTTGAGCTGGGGCTGAGCCTGGGGGAGGGGGTGCCTTCAGGTTCTCTTCAACCACAGAGCCTGGCTCTCCAGGTCAGTGTTCTACAGATCTGGGCACAGCTATAGATTCCCTAGTGCCAGTGTCCTCCTCCGTGGTGTGCACCAGGGTTTTCTCCTGGAAGACTAAAATGCTCGCTCAGTCCTATCTTTAATCATGGTTTCTAGAGCTTTTGTTTTTGCATGAAAAAGAAATACCTTACAACTCATGGATTTTTCCACCTGCAGTGGACTTTCTGGGGTGCCTTATTACAGATCCAGAATCTGGGGCTCCCCATTGCCATGGAATCAAGATCGCTGGGCTCAGGCTCAGCATCAGGATTGGAACAAGCAAGCCCGGGGATCCAAAGGAGAACCAGCCCTCCTGGGTTCTCCCTCCCCTGCACCACAGTGTATTGCAGCTGGCCGGTGATCCGCACCCAGCCGTGAGCTGTTACCATCTTGCCCTGATGAGCCAGATGTATTGCGAGAGAACAGATACTCTCCCCCTCCAAAAAAGGGGCGACCCTGACCACTGCTGACTGCCCAGACTCTAGACATCTGGAGCAAGCAAGGCTCTCCTCAAGCTGGCGAGAGAAGGCTTGCCATTTTCCCGAGAAGAATCCATAAGAGGGCATGCCATGGTACAGAGAAAAGGGTATCCAAGGTAAGTCCACGTTCATTCCCTCTTGCGAATGTTACAGAACTGCTTAGTCCAGGAAAGCCAGAGGACCGACTGTCTCCTGAGTCCTGGCTAACATCCTGCAGAAGGAAAAATAAAGCCCCTTCCGTGGCGTGTGTGTGCTATGACCCTCCCCCTGACCTCCCCTGGCTCACACACCCTTGCATCTCGCACACAAAGAAGGCTTCCTGGGAGAGCTTCCTCCAAACCTCAGAGGTCACAGCCACCCTGGAGGTGAGATTACAGGGCTGGGCTGTCTTCTGTGTCTCCTGGCTTGAGAGAGGAACTAGCACTCAAGAGGTAACTGGCTGGCCCCTAGATGAGACCCACATATGTCCACTTCCTCAACCTTCAGATGGGACCAAGGGCTTGCATTTTACATGCCCAATGGGCCTGAGTTACGGTCCTACAGGAGCCTGGAGCAGAAGTTCCCTTCCCACTCTTTCCTCCCCAATCTGACTGTCAGATTCTCAGAACTGTCGAGAGGGGTTCTGGTTTACTCATAAACCTTTCCATGCATGCTGGTCCTCCCTAGAATCAGCTGACGGCAGGGGCTTGCAGGACGTGTCTGACTAAGTGTGATGACAAGCAGCACACAGGTCCCTAAAACCTTCCCGGATTTTCTCAAAGGCAAGATCACTCTCTGCAGCCTCCGTGAGGGCAGGAAGGAGACCTTGCTACAGAGTGGTGCATCTGATGGCTGCAAACGTGCCCCTGTTTCCATGGGGACGACCCTCCCCAGTCTGCAAGGGCAACCCTCCTCCCCCTCCCCCCGCTGGGACTCTTGGCTGACTCCCAGGAGAGCTGAGAAGCCTGCTGCTCCTCTTTAGGAAGGGCGTCTGTTTCTTTGGGCTAGTACTGCATTCGCCAAGCTAGAAACGTGAGGTCTCTCTGGGTTATCAGACAGCCAGGCACATGGAAGTAGAGGGAAGGGACATTGGAAACTCTGTTGGACACACAACTACCAAATAAAATCCAAAGACGCTGGTGAGTTCACATGAACTGTTATTCTCTTTAATAATGCAAAGATGTCAACTTCATAAAGGCCTTGCTGATTATCTACACGTTAGCATTCTTGTTAGTAGAAAAACGTGATCCAAACCTGCTATATAAATATGCCCTCCCCCCCGAAAAAAAAAAAAAAACAAGCAGAGGAACCCTATGGTGTGTGGCCTGTGGATAGCTCTATGGAGCGTGGGAAGGGCACAGAGCAAGGTGCTCACTCCTGCAGGTGTGCCACAGGCTTCACCGGGAACCCAGGGTGCAGTGGGGGCTGGGGTGCACTATGCTGTCTCCCAGAGGGCTACCATCACGGCCAAGGCCTGTCTGAAAGAATGGGCCCATGGCAGTGACCCCCAAGTTGCCCCAGCTCAGGTCTGCCTGGCCCCTGGATGTGCTGAGGGGACAGGGTCCACGCCAGGTCGCTGCATACTTAGGGCCACATCAACAAAGGGTCCCTTGAGAGACCCTGACCCTGTCTCTCCCCTGTGGGTGAACCTGGGACCAGGGTGAGGCAGACCCCTGAGCCGGTCCCCTAGGGTAAGTACCCATGATGCCTGCCTAAGACAACCACAGCAGTGGGGAGGACCTGGTGGGGGCCTCTTCTGCCTTCCCTGGCGCTCTCCCGCCCTGCCCTGTGATTCTCACACTGGGCCCTGCAGGTGCCAGCTTCCTCCCCGGCTGCATCTGTTGCCCTGGGGAGAAGCGCGGTGAGGGAGTCCGGGGAGAGGCCTGTGGCGGGGGTGAGGGGCACTCGCCCGTGGGAGCTGCTGAGCTGTGTGCAGCCCCTGTGGCTGCACGTGAGCCTGCACACTGAACGCCGGGGACACGGGCCTGTGCCAGCACAGTTAGGGGCCACGAGGATCCCCAGAGGGAAAGGCCAGTCTTTGAACATTAACAAACAACAACAGAAAACACACACACACACACACACAAAGAACCAAAAGGAACAAAAATCAAACTGGCATGGAGACACTCAGCGATGAGATGTGTAGGATGACAGGGGACCACAGTGACCGGAGGGAGCCTTTATTCAGGAGAAGGCCAGCCCCAAGCACACACATCCGGACGGGATCCGGCCCTGGGTCTCTGCAGGACCTTCAAGCACACCCACTGCCTCTCCTGCGTGGGTCCCCAACAGCAGGCTGAAGCCAGGGAGCACTTGGCTTTGCAGGAGTGTTTTAAAAGTGTTACCAACCCAAGTGCCCAACAGAGCAGCTGGGACATTCAGAAGGTGCAGGCAGGCTGACTCGGCCCCCGTGTGCTGGCCCTCTGGGGCTGGGCTGTCCGGATGGCCAATCCCTCCCCTGCCACGTATCTGGGCATGGACAGGACTCACGCCTGGCTCACAGGGGACGGTTCCAGCCTGCCTGGAGGACTGACAACATACAGTGATTACACAGGTCTCAGCTGGACCACATGCCCAGGACACGGAGCCTCTGTGCTGATCTGTGACGTGCTGTCCACGCAGCAGGGGATGCAGCCCGACCTGGGGACAAGCCCCTTTCAAAACCGACACATGCTGGGCCCATCATGGCTTGACTCTGTTCACAGAGCCGGCACAAGGAGCTGGTTATGCTACCGGCATCAGAGCATCTCGCAGAATGTTTCATCAGCCCCAGAAAATCCCAGCAAATGCAACAGTTTCCACGGGATGGGCTTCGGGGGACGTAATCTTTGCCTATCATGCCAGCGAAGTGCTCAAACGAATCACTACAGTCTGGCTCTCTCCACGCGGGCACTTCAGTATTTAAAGGCAAGCTAAGCCAACTACCTACTGAAGGGAGGGGGAAGAGGAGCACAGAGTTAGAACTGGGGGGGACATGAGTGATTTTAACAATTTGATGCAAGCTTTGTCAGGTACTTAAGAGTTCTTCCTCTGCTACATTTTAGGCATGAACAAAAAAAATGCAACAAGCAGCAGATATGCAGAAACTTCTCTGTAAACCTAGTATTATGCTTTTTCTTTGTTTAAAAAATAGTATTTAAAGAAAGAGCTCTGAAATTTTGAACTGCCATGAAAAAGGGGGCGAACTCCTTCCGAAGTGGCACGAAGGTATCTGTGGATGGCAAAATGTCTGGAGGTAAAGCTTTTTCCAATTGCAAAACCTTCCTCTTCCACACAGAGGGCTTGCTCGGTGGCCAGTGAGTGCCCGTGGTGGTCCTGACAGGCTCATCCAAAGGGGGTACTGATCATTTTCATAGGAACTGGGCTTTTAAGCAAATTTTTTGTGTTCAAGTTCCTAACAGAGCAAGACAAGAGTCACTGCAGAGAGAAGCAAGGAGACAAAAGTGTAGGACGCAGAATTCCCTCCCAGTGTGGCTGTAGAGCCAAGCAGTGGGGCCCCGGAGAGAATGTGGTTGTTTACAAACATAGGTGGCAGTGGGGATGTCCCAGTGACGTCCAAGGTGGCAAGTGTGACAACAGACACAGGAAGGGGAGGGGGAGAGAAGGAGAGAGGGGGTAGAGACAGAAACAGAGAAAAACAAATAGATAAAAAGAAAAAAAAATTAGGTCAAATATAGAAAACACAGGAATCCAAGGTTAATTCAACTTAGTCAATTAAACCGACACAGGTTAGAGAGGAGTTCAGTGCGGTCTCAATACCAAAGGCCAGTTCAGAAGCTTAGCAATGCCAGAAGCAGCACAGCGGGGTTAACTCTGGGGTTAGGGGTCAGCGAGCAAATGAAATTAAAGTGAGAGAACGGGAGCCTCCACAGGAAGACACAGGAGTTGGATTAGGAGCGTGTTACCTTTGGCTAAGTGAGGTCTTTTAGATGCGGTCAACGAGTGTGGTCTTCTAGCGTCTAGCGTTTTTGCCCGTGGTGGTGGAGATGCATTGGATGGCTGCACTAGGCTGTGCTCAGGACAGCGCATGGCCTGCACAGAGATGCCACTGACTTGCTTCCACTGTACAAGTCCCTGTCATTGGGCTGTTCACATGTCCAGTCCCGCACCCCTCTCCTCCTGCCACCGTCCTGACCACAGAGTGCAGCCACACTCGTCTGTCTCGTAACTCAGAGAGCTTTTCCTCTTGAATCCCAACACGATGGCCAGGAAAGCCCAACCAAGCATGGAGCCACAGCCTTCTGAGACCTGAGTGTGGAGCCACGCAGCCCACTGTGGGGGAGGCAAGCGATCCCCCTACCCTCTCTAGCTTAAGTGGGCACCTGGGCGACTCCCACAACTGTGATGTCTCCAGCTGCCATGACTCTGGAGGACAAAGTCTCCCCAGAATTCCTGACTTGGACAGCCAAACCCCACAAGCTGATGCAGCACACCTGAGCCACCTGCCCAGGGAACAACAAGGAGTCGACTTTGCGGTAAAGAGCTTACTTAGCCCCATATTCCCCCACCTCCTAGGCGTCCCACAAAGATCTGCTCACTCACTCTGGACTGTTGATTTTAAGGATGAACTGACCAAGGAGTGCAAAGGAAGAAAGGGCACTTCAGCCGGGCTATCTCCACGGAGACAGCCTGCTAGGCAGCAATTAGGACACTTCCTGCAGCCACACCCACATGCCTGGTCTTCAGCACCAACCATCTGACCAGCGCCTGGGGAGACATCCCCACCCCAGCATCCCTGCCCTAGGAGCCTTCCTGACAAAGGACACTTCTGGTCCACAGCTGAGGACTCACCTGTCAACTCGCTGGAGGCCCCACACGTCTCCCCTACACACACACACACACACACACACACATTCTCACCACCAACCGCTGGTGTCTCTCACTGCTGCACACATAGGTGGCCCACGCCCTGTCTGGCCTGTCTCCTTCTGGGAGGGGCAATCATGACAACTGATCTGAGAACTGGGGAGCACTACAGACAGGGTAGGCCCATCTGTCTTCCATGGTTGGCCATGGCAGGGAGGCTATGGGGACCCCTCCTCCTGCCTGTGGTTAGCATTCGGCTGCACTGGAAGAGCAGAGAGTGGTGTTGAGAGTTCTCTGCGAGACTGGGGCCGTGAGGAGACTGGCTGACAGTGGCCAGGTAGCTGGCCCAGGCAGTAGAGCTCTCACTTTATTCCCACACCTGAGTTGGTCCTGGATCCCTAGAGACGGATCTGCATCTCCAGCAGATCCGCTGCCATCATGGTCTCTAGCAGACGGACTGCCTTTCCTTGATGGTGCTTTCCAGACACTTGCTCTGTTACGAGAGGTTCAATTTCAACTTTGCTTCAATTGAGAGGCCCTTGGCAGATAGGGTGCACGGCTCATTGGGCACCATCTCCTCCTTCTCTTGGAGTTACCAGAGAGAAGAGAACTGGACCATGGTTGTGCAGGTAAAGCAAGCATCAGATAGAGGGCGCAAAAAACAAGTTCTGTGGTCCTAGCACGGAAAGGCGGATGGCAGACAAGATCTCATGAAAGGATCCGTACTCAACCAGCTTCCAAGGCGAGGCGGGAGCCAGGGCGCTGCCCATCTGTGGGGTCCCATGGACTGGTAGGTAGTTATCAGTCCTTCCAAGTTGAATGAGACAGGACCTTTTCCCCAGGATGCTTGGCCAAGCCTTCCTGGGGGTCCAGTACATCTCAACCCACTGCACAGATAGGTACAAGGCAAAACTAAGCTTTGCATGGGCAACCGATCATGAGGATGGCCGTAAGCAAGCAAGTTGTCAGGGCTGTTCAGGCACATTAGGAGGGGCAGCACTGTGCATTACTTCGAAGCGGGAAACTAACAAGAGAGCAGAAGCAGCCGTACCTGGGATGGCTGTGGGCTGCGCCGAGGTCCTGAAGACAAAATGAGCCGCCTTGGACTTCCCCTGCTGGTTCTCAGCCACCACGTAGACCTCATACTCGGCATTCCAGTCCAGGGACTTGAGCATGACGTGGTCACTGCCCGACGGGAGCCTGATTTCTGGTTTCCACTCGGAGGACAGCTTCTGGGAGAAATTGGCCAGAGGGACACAGGACACCAGACAGTGTTAAGACACAAATGCGGGGTACACTGGCTGATGGGCAGAACTTAGGGGAGTCCCAAACTATCGGTGCAAAAATCATGAAAAGAAGAAACGATGGTAAGATATGGTTTGGATTCGTCATGAGTTTAGAGACTGATTCCTGAGGGTCACGCAGATCTGGAGGTCAACCCTGTGTGGCTTCAAATACAAAGAGCAGTGGTGCCAGCGCAGCACTGGACCACCCCCTTCAACACCCATCCCCCCTGCAGTACTCAGGGGCTCAGGCAGACCCCGTACCCCAGGCTGCACCCTCGAGTACTGGGCACATATGCATCAGGACGACCTAGAAGAGTAATACAACAGATGTTTCTTGTGTATTTCTGTACAGCTCCCTATTCAGGTGTGTGTGTCACCTCGCTGATGTGTGAGCACTGCACAGATTCCAGTTTTATTAAAAATAAAACCTGTCCTTCTCTGAGAACCTACTATGTGCCTGGCCTGTACTAAAGAATTTGCTGACATGTTTGCTTGTATCCCAGTGACAAGCCTGTTGGGGAAGGGAGGTGACTAGGCTCCGGCTAGATCTGATGTGGGGGATGTGAGAGAGAAGTAAGGTAACTCTGCAGACTTTCCTAAAACACACCACAGTCAAGGCTGGAGCCACACTCAGCTGGGCCCAAAGCAGCAGTCTTCCTTTTCAACAGCAGGGAGCTCAACACTCGTCTGTTGAACTGAATGGGATTTTCCTGTTCTGTGCAGTGTGGCCCTGTTTCTGCACCTGCAGCTGAATTGGTGAGGTGTCTCGGGTGTAAATCTCGCTGTCAGGTCCAACCCAGGGGTGCTCAGAGGACCCCCAAGCAGGGATCCTCTGAGCTCAGCAGCACAGCCTGGGCGTAAGTATAGGCAGGGAGCTAGAGTTCTGCACTCCTCCCTTTTTCTCATGGAACACCCTTTCTTGTTATTACCTACACACTCACCAATGACTTTGTACTGGGTGGGAGTTTATAAGGCTATTGTTGGCTGATTGCTTCCCTAACAAAACAACTGTGGCAAAAGGTTGGAAGACCCCCAGAAGTCCTCCAATGGCCTCACAGGTGCACAGCTCACGTCTTGATAATCTTTGGTCTTTTCACAAAGGCACACGCCCCAAGGTATCTACCATGCACAAAAGAAGGCATGACACATCTGGAGGCCCATGGCTGAAGCTGGAGGAAGAATTCTGCTACAGCAAAGCTTCTTCCAGGCAGAATGGTTGGTGGAGCCAAGGGGAAGCCTTCAATAATGTGGCAGTGCTCATGCTGTGGCTGCGACCATCATGGGGAAATGCTAGGACGGGAACCCTCTCGTGCACAGAGTCTAATCAGGAAGCCGGGGCTATGGAGCAAGCCAGCTGGTGCACAGGCCACCAAGTAGCTCTGCTTTAATTTTCAACAGGGAAATTGAGCTGCCTCTTTTATCTTCGTTGATACACATCATTATAGATCAGACAACCAGAAGATAAGGCACATATTTAATAAAGTAAGCGTATGGTATACAATACATAATAATAATACAGAATAATTTTTTTTCAGAATAATATTTAGCAAACTGATCTTCTGAAGCAAAAGAGGATGGTTAAGGTTGTTGTAATCTAACGCATCTTGGCGTTTTAGCCCTACTGCCTCTCCAGAGCAGGGCCTGCCTGGTACCGCCACCAGGGCTCTTTGGGCAAAATAACATCCGAGGTGACCTCATGCAGGAGATATTTCCAGCCTGCTCCCACATCTTAGTGGTAATTATAGTTACCATTTATAGAGGTTTCCAAGTACCAGGCACATTTTTGATGCTTTGCGTTCATTATAAGAATCCTTGCAGCAACTCAATAAACTATTTCGTTCCCATTTTACAGATGGTGAAATCGAAGTTTTGGAAGATTGGGTGATCTATTCACCATCATCTGTTCAGGATTTATGTTGGTAAGTGGGCAGGTTGGAACTGGACGTCACGTCTGGCTCTAAAACCCGTGTTCTGCCCACTGGGTCATGTTAGCATGACAATGGCCAGAAGCCGTTGGGGTACTTGGGGCCACCTGCCCAGTCCTGGCATCCTACTCTGGAGTGAGGGAGCCACAGGGCTACTCATTCAGTGGGACCTCTGGGTTGGGCTGGAGGGACATTGATTGAAGTTTTCTTGCCATGTCAGCTTCCACCTGGCTTAGAAATTAAGTCGGCAGGAGGGCTGAGTGACTGCCAGGCCTGCCCACCAGCTGAGCCCTGTGCTGGATTAACGCTGCAGATACCCAGCCAGCTAAAGACCCATGCGTCTCTTCTGTGGGGACTGGCTAAAGACCCACGCGTCTCTTCCGTGGGGACTGGTCACCCAGCAGAGAGGAAGGATGTCAACCTACTCAAAAAAGCCTGTCTTTGGGCAATCTGAAGAAAGTACATTGCTCTCTGGTTCCTTACTCTCTACCATTTAGAAATCCGATCTGGAGGTTATTCCCAGTGTCCAGAGGCCACCTCTAATCTCCCAGCAGTTGGGTGTCGCTGGCGATGGCCAGGTGTCACTATAAACCCCATAGGAGAGAGCGATTCTCAGTTCTGGGGTTTGGGGACGAAAGGTGGAACCATGGGAATCTGAGATGGGTGGGGAACAAACTAGGAAGAAGGCGGCTTAGGACCAGGTACCCTGTGTGCGGGACTGCAGGGGCGGACAGCAGGGGAGAGAACTGGCCTTATTTTAGGAGCTTCAGGCTACCTTGGGTAGAGGTAAGAGGCCCGGATTGGACTCTGGCTCCCCAAGCTGTGACTGTAGCTGTAACATGGGGTAATCGTGAGACTGACTGCTCGTTAGACAACAGCAACACCTTTGCAAAAGGCACTGGAAGATGGCAAAGTACACTTGTTGAAAAGTTCCAGAAAAAAAACAAAAACAAAAACAAAAACATGTCAATTGTGGTATCAGTTTGTGACTCCCACAAACTCATGGTTTTAAAATGGTCCCAGTGTGGACAGGGCCGACAAGCCACCTGCGGGACATAGGTCCTGCTGGTCCCATCTCACCCCCAGGTCTCCCGGGCTTTGCATGCTGTTCCCTAGCTAAGTTGGGAGCCAGGGCTGTGGGGCAGGGGAGGGGCTGTGGAGGGAGGTCACTCACCGCTCGGTACTTGACCAGGTAGTGTCTGATGGGGGAGCCCCCGTCGTCCTGCTTGATCAGGTTCACCTTAATAGAGTTCCCATCCTCTCCCATCTGCCCTTCGAGCTTGGGTGCACTGGGTTCCCCTGAAACAGGCAGTGAGCTCACATGAAATCCTGTCCACAGGTGAAACGCAGTCCATCAGACTGGGGCGCAGTGGCAGGTTAGGGACGGGCTCTTTTTTATTTTCTCAGAAATGCCAATGGTTAAGAAGCCATAAATGTACAACTTCAGACTCGAGGTAGCGGCCTCAGACTCAGCCCAGATGGCGAGTGCCTTTTGGGAGTGTTTTGGAAACACCTTTCCTATTTGCACAGCCCTTGTGCCAGTTTAGCAAGTGGCATTCTCTGTCGCTCTGTCTCTGCTGCCTGCGTGTCCTTTTGGCAGACTTAGTTTTTATAAACCTGACACATCTGGAGGAACAGCCTGAAATATGGGGAAATGTGCTGTGAACAGAAAACTTGAACCTATACAAATGTTTTTTAAAAAGGTTAAGTTTTTTTTTCTCTGGATATATCCCTTAGCCCAGGGAAGTCTGACCCCCTAATGGAAATGAATGATGCAGTATTTTTGTGAGTACCTTTACACAAGTTGGATTTTATGACTTAGAATCACTTGTTTGGAAAACAACAACAACAACACATTTCCAGTTGTAATTAAACAAAGCACAACTGGCCACAGGCAAGAGACCTGTATTTGTGGCTCAACTGAGTGAGCAATAATCCTTGGCATTTTCATGTATTAGCGTAACAACCATTTAAGTATTTTTTCTTTGGGAGAGCAGACCGAACAAAATGCCTTTAGTTTTCTCAACAGAAAAATGGTTGATGTTCCCCTTTGCCATACCCGCTAGGCTTGTAGCACTGCAAACCCATGGTTAAGAAGGAAGATGAATTTGTACGTATGTCACACACTACCAGGGCCGGGAAGGTTCCACAATGAGACCCAGACTGACTTCGAGAGAAACTATTTCGTTAGTATATGCTGAGTAATGAGGTGAGAGGCTATCTGACACAAAACATTAAAATGAAGATGGAGCACACCTGGGGAGCCCGCACTTTCTACATCTATTCCATGACTGCAGACAGAAAACTTGGAGGCTGTAAAATAACTGCTTTCTGAGTAGGTTACCCTGGCCCACTCTGGGAAACAGAATCACAGACATGTCGGGAAGGCTGGGGGAGGACGTGTCACCAGGCTGCTGGCCAAGCCATCTACGGCCTCACCACTTCATTGAGCTACTTGGGAATCTCCTCCCTGCGACACAAGGAGGAATCACAGAAGAGCATAACCTATGAGGGTGCTTCAAGAAGTTCATAGACAATGGAAGCAAAAGAGGAGTTTGTCTCGATGCACCGTAATTTTGTAATCCATGCTCAGGGGTGGACTTCCAAAAGCTCATGGAGGCCGGCGCCGCGGCTCACTAGGCTAATCCTCCGCCTAGCGGCGCCGGCACACCGGGTTCTAGTCCCGGTCGGGGCGCCGGATTCTGTCCCGGTTGCCCCTCTTCCAGGCCAGCCCTCTGCTGTGGCCAGGGAGTGCAGTGGAGGATGGCCCAGGTGCTTGGGCCCTGCACCCCATGGGAGACCAGGAAAAGCACCTGGCTCCTGGCTCCTGCCATTGGATCAGCGCGGTGCGCCGGCCGCAGCGCGCCGGCCGCGGCGGCCATTGGAGGGTGAACCAACGGCAAAGGAAGACCTTTCTCTCTGTCTCTCTCTCTCTCACTGTCCACTCTGCCTGTCAAAAAAAAAAAAAAAAAGCTCATGGAAAAAATGCAGCATCATGGAACAACTATGCATGGATTTCATATTTTTGCACCAAAATAAACCACTTTTCAATGCCATTTTCCATGAGTGTTTTGAAGTCCCCCTGTGGAATCCTAGTACTCATACTTGTAGGGCCAGCTGCATGCATGTCACTGGGAGCTTGTTAGAAATGTGGATTCTGGAACAAGATCCCTTGGCGACCCATGTACACCTAGTTTGGGGAAGTAGTAATGAGGACTCATAAAAGTTGGAATGCCGGCTTATGTAGTCTTGATGCTGGAGAGATATTTAGGAAAAGGGGTGCTTATTACTTGTTTTTGTCAATCAGTAGTTTGAGAGAAAATAAATGCAGCAATAAAAAGACAGGTGAGGGGCCCACATTGTGGCATAGCCAGTAAAGCCACTGTCTGTGGTGCTGGCATCCCATATGTATGCCAGTTTGTGTTCTGGTTGCTCTACTTCCAATCCAGCTCCCAGATACTAGCATGGGAAAAGCAGTGGAGGATGGCCCAAGTGTTTGGGCCCCTACCAAGCACTTGTGGGAGACCAAGAAGAAGCTCCTGACTCCTGTTTCAGTTTGGTCCAGCCCCAGCCATTGTGGGAACCAGCATATAGAAGACTTCTCTCTGTGTAACTCTGACTTTAAATAAACCTTTAAAAAGACAGGCAAACATTTGTCCTGCTTCTAAGCCGTGGTATAGCCACTGGCTGCACCTAATGGTTAGGCGTAGATATATCAAGCTATGTTGTATTTTCAAGCTACTCTGGGCTCTTCTAAGTCTTTGAATTACTACTCATTCATGTCTACAACATTATAAATACCCAGTGCTAAAAAGCAACTCAAAATGGAGTGTATTTTTAGTAAGACATGAGTTTGTGGGAGCTTCACCAATGCTGAGCAAATGGAAGGTGGCACAGAAGTTGATAAATTCTATTCTGACTGTCTGGAGTTACCAACTTATCTGGGTAAGCCTGGGATGTACCAGATTTTAGCACTGTAAGTTCAACAACTGAGAAATCCTTTAGTCCCAGGCAAAGTGGACCAATCGGTAACCTTACACTGAATAGAATGGGACATCACTCATTCTAACTTTCTGCACTTGGAATCACAGCATGGCTGTGTGTCAAGTGGTCTGACACAACGGTGTGTGAGGTGGCTTATATGCCTTAGGAAGGAGAAGAGTTTCATTTTATTTTTTTTATTTTTATTTTTAGGGTTTATTTATTTATTTGAGAGGCAGAGTTATAGCCAGTGAAAGGAAGAGAGACAAAGAGAGGTCTTCCATCCACTGGCTCTCTCCTCTAATGGCCACAATGGCTGGAGCTAGGCCAATCCAAGGCCAGAAGCCAGAAGCTTCCTCTGGGTCTCCCACATGAGTCCAGGGTCCCAAGCACTTGGGCCATCCTCCACTGCTTTCCCAGGCCTTATCGGAGTTGGATCAGAAGAGGAGCAGCTGGGACTAGAACTGTACCCATATGGGATGCTGGCGCTGCAGGCAGAGGATTAACCTACTGCGCCACAGACCAGCCCCAGGAGTTTCATTTTAGGATGCATTAGTGACTCTTTCACCCTTCTCCAAGCCTTCTTGGAGGAATATAAAGATCTGTCCATGGAGATGTTTTGTTGTGCCCTCCTTACTATTTCCTCTCCCAATTGGGCAGTGTGAGTTTCCAATGCTGAATCAGTACCGTCAAACACTGTCAGAACTCTGCTTTGCCATGGCTCTGTTGCCTTGGCCAATCACTGTGTCAGTCTCCACACGTGCCATATGGACACTGGGTCAAATACTCTCTAAGGTTCCTTCCGGCTCTGTCGTCACGGTGACCCAGTGACGACCACTGTGGTAGAGTGGACTACCATCTATGCCTTGGCTATTTCTCACAACAAAGTGGAAGACATAACACAAGAGATATGGCCTCCAGTCAGCTGTAGGGAGATACACCCTACAACAATCCCAAGTATCTACAAGTCCCTGCAGCACAAAGGTGCCAACTCTTTGCCTAGCAATTTTGAAAAAGTTATCTCAAAAAGTCCTATCTTTGAAAAGAGAGCCTCCAAGTCTTTTGAAAGACAAAGAACACAAATCTCTCCAAGGAACCCTTGCAGAAGCCAAAAGCCCTGCTGAAGGAACTCCCTTATCTTCAATTTTGCTTCAGAAAAAAAAAAATCACTGGGATCACCATTAAAAAATGTATCACCACCAAAAAGAAATCGTTGGGAAAAATCACTAAAAATTGTACCATAGCACTTAGTTCTAACATTTACCAAGGTTAGACCACTATAATTTGCTGCCATTTAGTTTGAGTGACTACCATGTGACTCAGAAATGTATTATTTTCTCGTAGAAGTTAGAAGTTTCGTATTGTGTAATGTTTAGGTGTATCATCGGGAGTGCTTTACCTCTGATTCACACAGCAAGTGAGTGTCTACTAGGTACCAGGTTGTAAGCAATTCAAGTCTCAAAGGCAAACAGGGATTTTTATTATTTTGCCAAATGCAAAGAAAAAAAAAACTTAGCTATGGTCTATCCTTTTAAAAAAGGTGTGGAGTACTCAGACAGCAACATAACCCTTCCAAAGGCAATATTTGTAAAGGATGATCATATTCCAGTGATGTCATAGAGGTCTGGTCAAACCCAGTTGAAGGACATTCAGACGTGAAGAGAGTAATTGTTCAATCAACTCTCTTACCATCTGATGCTTACTCTTTCTCTTAAAGATTAGCAGTGAGGTCACAGAAACTTCCCCAAGATCTCTGTATAGAGCCATGCCAGATGGGGGAGGGGCTGCTGCAGAAGCAATGCGACCTTGACCTTGGGGAGGGCTCACTGCTTTCCTGACCACATTAGCAAGGAAATGCTTTAGAGGGTCCTGTTGTGCAGGGTGTTCTGAGACGGCTGCTCTGATTGAAATCATTATGGGTAATTTCAGCAAAACCAATATTGTAATTATTTGTAAATGTTGGTTTGCAATTCAGCAGTAAGTGGCAGGTTGCTCCAAGAAGACCCCTGTGGTTAGTTATACCCTTTGAATTGAGCTGCAGGCATGAGTCAAATTCTACCCCCCCCCCCATATTTTATGTAAAGACTGAAACAGTGGTACCTTAAAAATAAACCCTGCCAATAGCAAATACGCCATAATGGGCAGTTCTGGTATGCTGCAGTAAAATGTAATCCATGAACACAAGGGAAAAAGAGCCAACCATAGAGAGGCCACACACAGTCACATCCATCACAGGCAGGTCCTCGGGAGCCCCCCCTTAGAAGCTGTAATTGGAAGTGTATTTCTGGCCGTGTGGATTGCAGGTTCTTGGTAATTAC